ACTTATACCCAGCAGGCTGGAACAGGTATTCTCTTTGTTGCCGATTGTACCGCCCACACTCAGATCGTGTTTCACTTACTGGAGTTTTTAGACTCTCGTGATCTCATGTAATCATCATTCTCAGAAGCATTTGCTAAATTAGTCTTGTAGTAAGATGTGAATGTGGTTATGATCCAGGTGATGTGGTCTATAGTTGGTCGTTTCTGTCCGACTGTTTGGAATAATCTCGGTCCAATTATGCACTTGAATGCAGCACATGTGAGTGGATCTGTGGATCAAATGGATCCATCATAATCTTCTTTAATTAAAACTCATTCAAGTAATAGCTTCTTGTGCACAGTAGGCTTCCTGAAAGCAGAAATGATCTCTGAGGTTGAGAACGTGAAATAAATCATCCATGTGTATAAAACACTTCTACATGTGTTCAGACTGAGGTCCCCTGATTCTTCACTGGTTGATCAGTCTTGGCCTTTAAAAAGTCTTCAATTTCACTTATTAAAGGTGAAAGATGTGATCCCTCTTTCAGCCGTTACTCATGATGTGGGCGACCGTGGCTCAAGAGTTGGCAGTTCGTCTTGTAATCGGAAGGTTGTCAGTTCAAGCCCCGGCTTGAACCGACGGTCTCGGTCGTTGTGTCCTTGGGCAAGACGCTTCACCTGTTGCCTACTGGTGGGGGTCAGAGGGCCCGGTGGCGCCACTGTCCGGCAGCCTCGCCTCTGTCAGTGCGCCCCAGGGTGGCTGTGGCTACAATGTAGCTGCCATCATCTGTGTGTGAATGACTGAATGTAGTGTGGGGTCCTTAGGGACTAAGTAAAGCGCTATACAAATACTATTTACCATGTCTAAATGAACTAACAGCCCCTTTGTCCACCTACCATCACATGTTGTGTGATTCAAAGAACCTAAAATACTTTTTTTTCCCCCTTCCAGTTCATCCCCTGGTCTTTTCAGAAAATCGACATCATGGCAACCAAAACAGCTGGTGAGTCCACTCACATGTTATTGATCAGCAGTCAGGATTTTGCACTCACACCATCCACGGAGAGTAGATTTAGAGAGTAACTGTAACATCTGTTCAGGTATTGGAAGTGAAAGCACACAACAAACAGGTGCAGCAGCAGAGTGGAGCAGGATCCAACTGCCATGATCACACTGTGCTGCTGGTTTTAGGAGCAATGTTGGCTGATAAACATATCCAACATGCTCACAGTACATGTCGCCCTGTTCTGCCGACAACAACAACTTACAAGATAATCCAGTGTAACACTATCTGTACTTACCAAAGGTTTAATGCTTGGAAATCAGGATTGTTGACCTTCGCTAAGCATCAGTATCAACAATTTGACCAC